GTGAATCTTGTGATCTTAGGTGTTCAATTGCAGGTCGAATTGAGGGTCTAAGGTCGACGAATGAAGGATGATTTATCTAGTGAAGATTGTCGACATTACAAGTCTAGAAGGTTTGGGTGATTCAAGTTGATCTTTGGCGGGTCTCAAAGGTGGATTTGGACCGATTACAACTATATTCGTATCAATTGGTAATCAGAGCATAGGTTTATCATCTTCAATCGGTAAATCTATCTTTCTATTCATCATTCATCACGTTTTCATCCATCAAAATTCACCCACACTCATATCACACCATTCTCTTGAAAAGTTCAAAAATTCAGAAAATTTGAAAATTCATAGCCGATTCATCTTACATCTTTTTGCATTGAAATTTCAGATTTGAGTCCCTTATAACTAGTAGTTATATCCAAAAATATAAAAAAATATAAAAAAATTTCAACCAGAAACTTGTGATTTTTGTTATGGGTTCGTTTGATGTCGGAAAGGTTTGAAATTTGAGATTTAGACTTCTTTTAGTGTGATCTTTCTGGGAAAAATACTGAAAAAAATCAAAAAAATCCGTAGCTCTAATGGCAATTTTGGATCTAGGGTTCTTTTTCTCGGTTATTTGGGGATTAGGGTTTTTCATTGTGCAATTGATACAATTTGTTGCAATTAACCCTAATTGATTGTGTAATTGAGATCCTTGGGTTGTTTTTGCTGTGAATTGTGTTTTAATTTGAAGAATTTCAGGCCCTATTGGATTTAAGTGGTATAAAATAGGATTTAAGTGGTACTAGGGCTTTGAAGGCTCACCCAGGCGCGGGTCACCCTTGCCTAGGCGCGGGCTACACCAGGAGATTTGGCAAGGCTATTCCGCAACCTTACCCAGCCGCGGATTACACCAGAAAGTTGTGAAGATTCGTTTTTGGTTTTTGATCACTTTCCTTTGATTCACAATAATTTTGCTACTAATTGTTTTTTCCTTTAGTAGGTCACGAGAAGAAAGGAGTGCTCTAGGAGTTGCTCTTATTAGGCCTATTGAACCTAGTAAAAGGCATAATCTTGTGAGATCATCAAGAGAGTAGTGGATCGCCAATCCATAGGAATTGAGTGCCAACATGAGAGCACAGTCAAAGGTATAATCACACACACACACACTTGTTAGGATTTTTACTACTAATCTTTGTTCTTTTTGTAGGCACAATGGGAGATAGACAAGAAGAGCAAAATCAAGAATTAAATATGAATGACATGTTACAACAAATCATGCGACAACTTGGTACCATGACGAGATTGGAGGCATTGAAAATTCGAAATCCACAAGCTCAACAAGGAGCTAATGCCGCAATCAACAATGAGAGAGTTCAACTTCCACCACCGAGGCAAGTTGCTAGGTTGGATCCCATCGAGAGATTGAGGCAACAAGAACTTGATGGGCAAGCTCACAATGAGAACATGCGGCCTAGGAGGGGAGTTGAAAAAGAAGAGCCTAAAGACAACATCAAATACAAAATCCCTAAATTCAATGGGAGAGGGTCTCCATCCGATTATTTGGAGTGGGAGTCGAAATTGGATATGTATTTTGATTATCACCGTCATGCCGAGCCAAAGAAGGTGCAAATTGCTACTCTTGAATTTACGGGGAATGCTTTAAATTGGTGGAATCAACTAGTGCAAGCAAGAAGAAGAAATTTGGAAAGACCTATTGATACTTGGTTAGGACTAAAGAGTTTTATGAGGAAGAGGTTTGTTCCAAGCTTTTATACTAAATGTCTCTACCAAGAATTGTAATCTTTGAGGCAAGGATCAAGGAGTGTTGATGAATACTACTCCGAGATGATGTTGTTGATGTCTAGGGCCGAGATTGATGAAGCTCCACAAGCCACAATTGCAAAGTTTTTGGCGGGGTTGAATAAAGAAATTCATGACATAGTGTAGATGCAACAACACTATGATGTTGAAGAATTGCTTCAACATGCTTTGAAGGCCGAAAGTCAAGTAAAGAGGAATAAGAAGAGCTTTGCATCATCATCAAGCTCATGGAAAACTCCAACCAAGAAAGATGACAAGACATCCAAAGAGAAGGAGTTGGCGCAAAAGGGAGCTACCCTTAAAACCGATTCTAAGTCTTCATCGGGTTCATCTTCTAAGAATCATGTTAAGTGTTTCAAGTGTCAAGGATTTGGGCACTATGCTAAGGATTGTGTTAACAAGAAAGTAATGTTTATGAATGAACAAGGAGAAATCGAAAGTGAAGATGAAGAGTTTACACTAGGATCTAGTGGTGATGGAGATGATGAAGGTGATGCGCATAGTGATAATGATGATGGAGACGGATTTGCACTTAAGAGTTTGGTTGCTATGAGAACTTTGAGTGCTTATGTGAAAAAAGATGTGAACAATCAAAGAGAGAACTTGTTTCCTATTAGAATGTATGCGAATGGGAAGCCTAGTAGTGTGATTATTGATGGTGGGAGTTGTACAAACATAGCTAGTGTTTATTTGGTGAAGGAGATGCAATTACCCACTACAAAACATCCTAAACCCTATAGTTTAGGTTGGATCAACGATAAAGAGGAGATTAGGGTTAACAAACAAGTTTTAGTTTCTCTTTCTTTGGGCAGGTACAAAGGAGATGTTTTGTGTGATATTTTGCCCATGCAAGCATGCCATGTACTACTTGGTCGACCATGGCAATATGACAACAAAGTTCAACATGATGGTGAGACGAACCAGTATACTCTCATGTGTGGTAAGAAGCCCTTTACTTTTATTCCGTTATCACCTCAAGGACTTTGCTAGGTTGGATTCGGAATTTAAGGCTAAAGAAAAGTGTAATCATGCTAATTTGGATGTGAATTGCGATTTGGTTGATAAGCATGCTAGTTCTAAGAAAGTTAGTAAGGAGTGTATGTTAGCTACTAAGAGTGAGATTAAAGAAGCTTTGAATGATAATTCTGTTTTGATCTTGCTTTTGCTTAAGTATACACTTGTGAGCACTAACCACTTGGAAAGCGAGCTTCCAAGCAACATTGTTTCTCTTCTGACTGATTATGTAGATGTGTTTCCTGAGGAGATTCCTAGTGGTTTGCCACCAATTAGGGGGATTGAACATCAAATTGACTTCATCCCTGGGGCGCAAATACCTAATAAGCCAACTTATAGGACAAATCCTGAAGAAATAAAGGAATTGGAGAAGCAAGTTGGAGAACTACTACAAAAAGGGTTTGTGCGTGAAAGCCTTTCTCCATGTGCAGTTCCTGTTTTGCTTGTTCCTAAGAAGTATGGAACTTGGAGAATGTGTGTTGATTGTAGGGCATTAAACAACATAACGGTAAAGTATCGTCACCCAATTCCTAGATTAGATGATATGCTTGATGAATTGCATGGTGTTTGCTTATTTTCTAAGATTGATCTTAAGAGTGGCTATCATGAAATTCATATGAAAGAGGGTGATGAATGGAAAACTGCCTTTAAAACTAAATTAGGGTTGTATGAATGGTTAGTTATGCCTTTTGGATTGACTAATGCACCTAGTACATACATGCGATTAATGAATCATGTTTTAAGAGCTTTTATTGGCAAGTTTGTTGTTGTTTATTTTGATGATATACTTGTGTATAGCCGAAACCTATATGAGCATGTTAGGCATTTAAGATGCGTGTTAGATGTACTTAGGGTTGAAAAGTTGTATGCTAACCTTAAGAAGTGCACCTTTTGCACAAACAAGCTTCTTTTTCTTGGTTTTGTGGTTTCATCGCAAGGTATAGAAGTTGATGAGGAAAAGATCAAGGCAAACAAAGAATGGCCAACCCCCACCAACGTTGGTCAAGTGAGATGTTTTCATGGACTAGCCGGATTCTATAGGAGGTTTGTTAAGGACTTTAGCACCTTAGCCGCCCCTATTACAAGTGTTATGAAGAAGAATGCACCATTCAAGTGGGGAGAAGAACAACAAGAAGCATTTGAGACCTTGAAGGAAAAACTAACTAATGCTCCTTTGCTTGTTTTACCTAACTTTAACAATACTTTTGAGATTAAATGTGATGCATCAGGGGTTGGAATTGGAGCTGTTTTGATGCAATGTGGGAAGCACGTCGCATACTTTAGTGGGAAATTGAATGGGGCTGCATTGAATTATCCAGCCTATGACAAAGAGTTGTATGCTCTTGTGAGGGTGTTGCAAACTTGGCAACACTAACTATGGCCTAAGGAATTTGTGATTCATACGGATCATGAGAGCTTAAAGTATTTAAGAGGCCAACAAAAGTTGAACAAGAGACATGCTAAGTGCAGTGAGTTCATAGAGAGTTTTCCTTATGTTGTGCGATACAAACAAGGTAAGGAGAATGTTATAGTCGATGCTTTATCAAGGAGGTATGCCTTACTTTCCATGCTTGATTCTAAGTTTCTTGGATTTGAGTATAAGGAATTGTATGCTAGTGATGTTTATTTTGGTGAAATCTTGCAAGCATGTGAAAATTCTGGATTTGGAAAGTATTATAAGCGTGATGGATTTTTGTTTAAGGAATCTAGATTGTGTGTGCCTTCTTGTTCTTTGCGCATCTTGCTCATGAGGGAATCACATGAGGGGGGATTAATGGGTCGCTTTGGAGTTGATAGAACATATGACATATTGCATGAACACTTCTTTTGGCCTAAGATGTGACATGATGTAGGGAAGTATGTTACTAGTTGTATTGTTTGTTTGCAAGATAAATATACTTCTAAGACTCATGGATTGTATACTCCTTTGCCTATTTCTCATGAACCATGGACTCATATTAGTATGGATTTTGTGTTAGGATTACCTCGTTCTAGGAGAGGTAAAGATTCTATCTTTGTGGTTGTTGATAGGTTTTCTAAGATGGCCCACTTCATTGCATGCACTAAAACGGATGATGCCATTAATGTAGCTAATTTGTTCTTTAAAGAGATTGTTAGACTACATGGAATGCCTAGGACGATTGTGAGTGATAGAGATGCTAAGTTCTTAAGTGACTTTTGGAGAACTTTATGGGCTAAGTTAGGTACTAAGTTGTTATTTTCAGCTACTTGTCATCCTCAAACCGATGGTCAAACTGAAGTAGTTAATAGGACTTTGTCTACCTTACTTAGAGCATTGATTAAAAAGAACTTAAGAACTTGGGAGGATTGTCTACCTCATGTTGAATTTGCATACAATAGAAGCATACATAGCACTACTGGACATTCACCTTTTGAAACTGTGTATGGCTTTAATCCTTTAACCCCATTGGATTTGTTGAGTTTACCTTTGAGTGTGCAAGTAGACATGGATGGACAAAGGAAGGCCGATTATGTTAGGGAACTTCATGCTAGGGTTTGATCTCAAATTGAGAAGAAAACACAACACTACATGAATGTTGCTAACAAGGGGCGCAAAGAGATCATCTTTGAACCCGGGGATTGGGTTTGGTTGCATCTAAGGAAGGAAAGGTTCCCTGAAAAGAGAAAGTCTAAGCTCTTACCTCGTGGAGATGGTCCATTCCAAGTCTTGGAGAGGATCAAGAACAATGCTTACAAGCTAGATCTTCCAAGTGAATATGGCAATGTAAGTGCTACTTTTAATGTTCCAGACTTATCCTTGTTTGATAGTGATGCAGATTTGAGGACAAATCCTTTTCAAGGGAGAGAGGATGATGCGCCAAGGGCTTATCATGGCTTAGAAGAGCACAATGGGGCCAAAGGAGACCATGCCTCGGATTTACATGGACTTGTCTCGGAATCTTTGGAAGAAGTCATGGTTGATCCAGGTTTGAAAGGAAGCTTGGAGGAACATGGAGGAGAGGAGATCGCATATGATCGGCCAAGCCATGGTCCAATCGCACATGGCCAAGCACTTGACAGGCCACATGCCCGGCCATCACCATCGCATGCCCGACCATCACCATCGCATGACCCGGCCATGCCTAAGCACAACCGGCCACATGATCCTTTAGCCATGCCATCCGGGCCAATGACTAGGGCACGGGCTAAATGCTTTAAGGATGCTTTAGTGGGCTTTGTAAGATATCATCTTGAAGAATTGAAGACCATTGAAGATCCATTGGGCCGATTTAAAGACCACACACCAAGGAATATTCCATACGATTCCATGGTGTGCACCATGATTTCTATTGATGGTCCTTAGGCTTTATCATTGTGTAATTTAGCCAATTGGGCCTTTATTCTATCTTAGTTTAGTTAATTATTTAGTTTGGACCTTGATTAGGGTTGGGCCTTATTTAATTAAAGTCCAATCCTCATCTATTTTCCTATTGGTTGTATTTTAGGATAGTTTCTAGATTCATCTACCTATGCCGCCCTTATAGGATTAGGAGTTGGGTATGTTATGCGCTAACCCCTCCCCTATATAAGGGCTCTTTTATCTCTTGAAAGCTTGAAGTTGAGTTGATTAATAAAATTGAGGTTTATTCACCAAAATTGATTTTCTTGGCTTCATTGTTCTAGTTTCAGCAGACTTAGGGTTCTTCAATCTCGTAGAGTCCTAGCAAACAATTAGGTTGTGATTGCTTAATTGTTTGTGAATCTTGTGATCATAGGTGTTCAATTGCAGGTCGAATTGAGGGTCTAAGGCCGACGAACGAAGGAGGATTTATCTAGTGAAGATTGTCGACATACAAGTCTAGAAGTTTAGTGATTCAAGTTGATCTTTGGCGGGTCTCAAAGGTGGATTTGGACCGATTACAACTAGATTCATATCACCCCCCCTTATCGACTTGGAATTTTTCCTTGTTGATTGTCGATTCTTCTTGAACCCAAAACAGCCTCTTTGCTTGTTATTTTTTACCTGATACACACCCTTACCATACTTCTGTCTTTGCTTTACCCAAATTAATTTGAAACCTAACCACCATGGCGCCCAAAAGAGAACTCCCTAGGACTTGAACCTTCCCTCTTAGTTCACATGCCGAACCTTATGCTTCTGGTGGTGATGAATGGGAAGATGATGAAATTGTTGATTTTCCCAATGCTTTTATTGATGATGAAGCCGAAAGATGGTACCGTGCTAGAGATAAAGTACCCATTGTAATTGAGAACTATCCCGCCAAGAAGATTGATAAGAATTTGAAGATTTCCGAGATCTTTAAAGCTTGTGGTTGGAAAAGTTTGCTTGAATTGAAGGGTGATTTTTATCCGAATATGGTGAAGGAATTCTATGCTAATATGGGTAGATATATACCATATGGAGATGATCTCACAATTCGAACAATGGTGAAAGGGAGGAGAATTAAGGTGAGTGAGAAAACTCTTGTTAGACTACTTGGAATAAACAATCATGGTAATCTTTTCAAAAGAGAAACTTGTTTGATATCTTTTGGTCTAAGGATGTTGCTTTGGAAAACTTTGAAATTCCGGATGATTGTCACAAAGGTGATGTTAAGTTGGAGAGAATGAAGCCAAGAGATAGGGTAGTGATGTACTTGATAAACCACAACATACTCCCTAGGTCTTTTAATTCTCAACATAAGGCTTCAATTGAAGACTTGTATATTGCCGATGTTGTATTATGGGCAAGAGAAGACTAAGCTAATTCCCATGGCTAGACTTATCTTAAGTAAGATGTGGGATTTTGCTACTTCTGGTGATCCTCATTAATGTTTGGGCTACCCACTTATCATTAGTGGAATTTTGAGAAAGAAATCTATCTTGCCTAGTGAAGGAGAAGTTACTAGCTCTTACAAGAAAAATTTCCTAAGAAATTTTACATGTTCAACCTAGGTATGAAACAAGATTCTTTTGAAAATTGGTTCAATGTTGAAAGAGGAAGTTGTTCTAAGGATCAAGAACCGAAACACATGGAAGTGACAAGGAATTTGGAAAATCAAGTTAAGGTTGTGGAAGTTAACAAAGTTGATATCACCTCTACTTCTAAGGAACTTGCCGAAGAGATGGAGTTGGATGTCAAATTTTGGGGACTTGAGATCTATTTGAAGAAAATTGGTGCGACATTGGAAGAAATTCAAAGTCAAAATCAAGAGTTTCATAAGTTGGTTCTCAATTTGATTTCCGATTTCACCAAAGAGTAAAGGAGGAATTGAATGGCTTCTATCCTAGAAAATTAGTTAGGTTGCATGTTTATTTTTCTTGTTTGCATATTAGGATTGCATCTTAGATTTAATTTTCCTTTTTTGCATGTTTAATTTTCTTGCCTATTAGTTTAATTGTAATTTTTCTTTTAAGACTGATTAATGAATTTTTGCTTATTTTATCATTCAATTGTTGATTTGCATTGCCATATCTTGTTATTGACTGATTGAATTGTAATTATTTGTTAGTTGATTGATAGATTACTTGTTTTTTTGTTAATAATTCACCCACTTAAGTACCCCATTTAATCAATGTTTTTGCTAATCTTGTTTCCAAATTCTATTTTTGTCCAAAACCTCACCCATAAGTTGAGTCAAAAATCTCATTTTTCAACTAGCTTACACATTGAGGACAATGTGTCATTTAAGTGTGGGGGGAGTGATTTAGAATTTTTTTTTTAAAAAAGTTGTTTTTGATAGAAGAGAATGAATAAATAGACTAATTACATATCTTGTTTTGCATATGTCTTGAATCATTGATTTGATTTCAAAAATTGAGTCTTAATTTAAGATTATTTTTCAAGCTTTGCTATGCTTATGATATTATTCTTTTCTATTTGCATGTGAGAATATGATGTTTTCATTTAAAAGTTGAAAGTTGATTGATTGTTAATTGCATAATTCATCCATTGATTGTTTTGTTCATACCTGATATTTTTACACACATAGATTCTTTGATCTTACAGCCTTTGGAAACCGATTCCCTTGTTCTTAAATACCTACCTTTTACACCCTATTTTTCCCTTGTTTTTAGCCATCTTTGTAAATTGAAAATCCTTTTCTTGGCTTGATAAGTGAAAAGTAAGTGTGGCGGAATTGTTCCCACGGTTTTGAAGCCTTAGATTGAAAATTTGCTTCTTCCATTAAGGAATAGAAAAGTTATTCTAAGGGAGAAAAGCATTCATAATTAGCTACTCCTTTGAAAAAAAAAGGTGAAAAGAACAATTCATCGGAAGCAAAAAAATTGAAGCCGAATGAAAGAATAAAATTGTTTGATTTAAGCCAAGATTTGGGTTACTTAAGCCTTATACACCCAACCACCACTTTTTGAGCCTAAATTTCTATCTTTTACCCATTCTTCCATCCCTTAATCATTGAATCTAATTCTACATGTGTGTGATATATCTTGTGTGACTTAAAAATTGTTTTTGAAAACCTTGGATGGATGTGTTTAGTATCTATTGCTCAAGTACTTTTCTTTTGACTATGATGAAGTTGAATGAAAGACTTATTCTTGTTCTGCATTTCAAATTGACTGATGATTTTGCATAGAATTGATTGAGAACTGATTTCTTTGAAAGGCTATTTCTAGCTAATTGCTTGATTATGGAAATTGAACATACTGATTTTTGACTAGTTTGTTGTATGCTATGATATGTCTTAAAAAGAAAATTCTCTCTTTTCTATCCTGTTGTTAGCCTTTTAAAACCTGTGTTTTTGTTTGTGTTGGTAATGTTTGTGGGTATTTTTCTAGTTAAGTAAACCCTCAGGTGACTATAACACCTCCTAGGTAGACGTATCTAGGTTCCTAAAGGCTTGTGTCATGTGCTAAATGCAACCGTACACCTACGAAAGTGGAATCTTTTTATGTTTTGAGTCAGAGCCTGTATTTCTAATCCTTTTTCCAACTAGGAGTTGCACACTAATTTTTTTTAGGGACTAACAAAAGTTAAAGTGTGGGGGAAATATGATAAGACCTAATTTTATGCTTAATTTCTATATGATTTTGCCTTGTTTTGGTAGTCATAAGTATCTATTTCACCTAATATTTCTCATATTTGTGTTTTCAGCACCATTTAGAGCTATTATTTAAGATTATGAAGCTTTGGAGCAATTTTGGATCAATTTGGCGATATTACAGATTTTGGCCATTTTGAGCCCAGTGAGCCCATTAAGCTCTGAAGGAAGCTTCAATCATTGAAGATCCAAATTTGATTTCTCTAAGTCCAATTCGCATATCTTAATGCCTAAAAAAGAGTTTCAAGCCCAACCAGCAATCATGATGCAGTAAATAATTGATGATTGGAGAAATTCCAAATCCTAGTCAAAGAAGGATTCACAAGTGCAGTTTCGGTAGAAAAATAATATCTTTTGATCCAGAGCTCAGAAAAATGCATATGATATACCGTTGGAAAATTGACTTCAAGCTCTACAACTTTGCTTTTGACCTCAAGAGTTAATTTTGATGAGAAGAATGTCGATTTTGCCTTTGACGTTTCTGGGCAGATTTGATCAACTATCCTAATTGACTTAGGAATTGCTTAACCGACTTGGACTTTGTTTGGATGGAAATTGCAGTTGTAAATTGATGATGTGGAGCATTCTAATTGGCTATTGAAGATGCTAATTTATGAAGATCTACTTCAACCAATCAAAGCTCATTACTTGGAGACAAAGTTGATGGAATTCCTAGTTGAATTAGGACTAGAAATTTGATGTCTATCTTGCCCTTTGTGTCGCCTCATCTAAGGGTTGGTATTCTTTGTCATAAGGGTGGGATGTGTCTTAGATTTGCTTATAAATACGTAAGATTATCTTAGGATTTGTCATAACTGATAACTCACGAGAATTGAAGAGAAGTCGACTAAGGACATTTCCTTGGTGAAGTCGACATCTTTCGGGTTCTTACCCTTGTCGATTTCTTTCTTAGATTTGTAAGTATGTCTCTCATGATTGCTTCAATCATGAGTGAGTAGTTCTCTTTAATACTTTTCCCCTTTGAACCCTTGAGTTATGAATTAATTATTTTACACCTATGGTGAGATCTTGTGCTTTAATTCTACATCAATTGATTGATGAATTGATGATATTCTATCATGCTTATATCGACTTGTTGATATATGTATGATTGGTTGGATTTTATTTGATGAATTGATCCTTTTGATAAACAAGTTTTCATGTTTAACCCTGATTTGATTGTCTAGATTTTCTTGATTAATTAATTAGGAGTGCACACCTAAGAAGTTAATCAATTGAATCTGTGCTAGATTAGATTTTGTTAATAGCTAGTAATTGAATCTAACTGTGAGTAGCAAGATTTAATATATTCAATGAATAACTAGTAATTGAAGTATTGAATTGGGTTAAGAACTGATCTTAAGTTGTGATGAATAACTAGTAATCATTAACTTATGTTTGGTATATCTATTGATCTTAATGCTTTACTGATTGCTTTAATTGGTGAATAACTAGTAGCTAATTTTGGTAATTGATAAAAGATGTTTGATTAGGAATAACTAGTACTAATCAGATTTATAAATGATTATAGATTAGGATGAAGAAGAATAACTAGTATTCTGATTCCTTGCCAAAGACATGTTTATGGTGCTTATAAATCGATATGTTTTGATCTATGATCCATGGTGTTTATAATTAATTTGTGCTTAAGTGGGGATAAGTGGGGAAGTATTGCCTTTATTTTATCGTTTTCTACTTAATTGCTTTCGTGACAACCCTATTGCTTTCTTTATAATCTGTTTTCTTTCTTAGTTGTCTTGTAACAGTTAATTCAGACTGAGTCTTCTCTGTGGGTTCGACACTGACTTGCCCTATATACCTATTAGAGAGAGTTTGTTAGGTTTTATTTTATGATTGTTTAACGACAGCGATCAGATAGCCGCCGGCCTCTCTCTCTTTCGCTCCTCCTCCATAGCTAAGTTTTCTTCATCTTTCTCTTCTTCTTTTGATGCTCACTCAATTCATGTGTGAGTAGTTCTTTTCTTTTCTCCAATGTAGAATTTAATTGATCTCTTGACTTATATCCTCGTGAGATGTTGCATTTATCAATGAAATCTTTATTAGGTATTTTTTAAATCTCTGTTTAAATCCTATGTTTACATGTTTTGATGGATTGGAAACGTCACTTTCTTGATAAATTAAGTTTACATTAGCTAAATCAATTCTGGTGAGATGACTAGTAACTAGGTTGATTAATTGGTGGCAGTTGGTTGAGAACTAATAATTCCTTCCAAGGGATTTTAAGAATCACAGGTGATTTGTATGTGATATTCTTATTGCTTTTGTGTTTGTTAGTAATTACGATGCTTAATACTTTATTCTTAATTGATCTTAAGCTGTGATGGTAAAGACATATTTTGAATAAAAAGGATTAATCACTGTGATATGGGTTAATTCATCTAAGGTAATTAATAGATTTAAATTCTTAAATCTAGGCAAACTATCCATTGTTTTCATAACCTTTTGATATCGATGAACCATGTTTTTTCTGTCAAGAGTGATATTAATTCTATGTTGGAGAATTCTTTGTTATAATTGTTTTCTTTGTTAATTGATATAATTTGCTTTAGTTTAATTTACTAATTTTTTTGTTCTTAGTTATATTTTCAATCATCAATATTTTCTTTTATTTGTGTGAAATAAGCTAATTGATTAGGAAAAGAAGATAACCATTCTCTCTGTGGATTCGACCCCTACTTATCCTAGCTACTATAGTTAGGATTTATGGGGATTATTTTTGATGCGCCAAGGGCTTATCATGGCATAGAAGAGCACAATGGAGCTAATGGAGATCATATCTCAGATAAACATGGAAATGTCATGGATGTTCAAGAAGTTGCTATGTTGATCCCGGATTGAACGCAAGCTTGGAGGAGCATGGAGTTGGAGGCATCGCATGTGACCAGCCATTGCTTGGAGAAGCCATGCAACATTGGCCACATGACCGGCCATCGCATGCGACATCACATGGAGCAACCTGCCACAACCGGCCATCGCATGGGGCATCCGCGCACAGCCGGCCATTTGATCCTTTAGCCATTCTGCAAGGTCCAATGACAAGGGCCCGGGCTAAAAGGTTCAAGGAAGCTTTATTGGGCTTTGTTAGATGTCATCTTGGAGGTTTGGAGTCCATTGAAGATCAATTGGAGAACATAGAAGTCGACATCACCAAGAATATTCCCATCGATTCCAAGATGTTCACC